ATATAATTAACTGTTTTCGCAATGCACATGATTATTAAATAAATTCATAAAAAACCTTCAGTATATAATACAAACAAATCAAAATTTCGATCGATTGTAATCAAACCCAGCAAATTATTGATTAATGTTACTTTTTTTATTTTGCTTTTTTCTTTACATTTGCGTTTAGTGATCCTTTTTTTCTTTTGAAACATCCTGTAAATTTGCGTTTTTTTATCTTTTGAACGTCAAAATTAATATAAAAGGAAATTATATAGAATTTCTGAGAAATTTCTAAATTTATGTACAATACTAAAATATGGGACATTTTTGACAAATTATTATAATATTTAAGTTTTAACTAAGGTTGTGACAAGTGACACTTATTAATGAAAAAGTTAATGGCAAAATTTGCGTGTAAGTTGCCTACAATGCAAGTTTTTGTTTATATTTTTCCTTGAGGAATCCCAATTTCAAAGGCTCAATAAACATTTTCATTTACTATTAACGCTGACTTTTGTGACAAAAATCGAAAATTATTTGCGTTCCAGGCACTACTGTTGTAGTAGTTAATTTCAGATAACATAAGTCTATAATTAATGGATTCACCTATTGGCTCGAAAATGAAACAATTTTTCGAAATTAAATTGAATAACTAGTTTATTTTTGTATTGAATCAAACTATATCCGGAGACTTTCGCTCATATATAGAACGCCAACACAACTGAAATTTACAAAGTTTACGTAAAATAGCATTTCACCAAACCAACTGACACAAATACGTACATAGTGGGGAAACAAAGATGCAAAAACAAATATGGAGGGCAGTATATCGTGTCCAAATGGACTAACAAAACTTACACAAACATAATTTTACTCATAGAAAAAATAAATGAATAAATAAAATTATATCGTGCATATAGGTACTGCAAAAAATTTATATATTACTTATATGTATATACATACATAAATATATACAAACTAGGTATATTTTTTGCTCACTTGCGAATCATATTATAGAAACCAAAACA